TTTGTTATCCATACATTTTCTATTACTATTTTGATTATTTTTACCACTAAATATTTTTCTTCAAAATAATAATTTCTTGGGAACTGGAGAGATGGCTTGTCAGTTAAGAGTACTGGTTGCCCTTGCAGAGGACCCATGTTCAATTTCCAACATCTACATCGCAATTCATAACTGTATGTAACTCCATTTTCAGAGATGCCCTCTTCTGACTGTCATAGGTACCAGGCATGCATGTGGTACATATGCAAAATAATTACTCTCCTATAACTCAGATCCAAGTGGGTCAAAGACCTCAACATAAATCCAGTTACACTGAAACTGATAGAAGAGAAAGTGGGAAATAGTCTTGAACTCATTGACACAGGACACTACTTCCTGAATATAACGCAGTAGCACAGACACTGTGATTGACAATTAATAAATGGGACCTCCTGAAACTGAAAAGCCTCAAAACACCAAATAATCCCATTAAAAATGGGGTACAGATTTAAACAGAGAATTCTTAACAGAAGAATCTTGAATGGGTGAGATACAATCAGGGAAATGCAAATCGAAATGACACCGAGATGCCATCTTACACCTGGAAGAATGACCAAGATCAAAAATGTTAATGACAACCTATGTTGGAAAGGGTGTAGAGTAAGGAGAACACTCTTCCACTGCTGGTGGGAGTACAAACTTGTATAGTCACTTTGGAAATCAGTATGGCACTTTCTCAGAAAATTGGGAATCAAGTTGCCTCAAGATCCAGTGATACCACTCTTTGGCATATACCCAAAGAATGCTCAACCATACCCCAAGGACACTTGTTCAACTACGTTCATAGCAGCATTATTCATAATAGCCAGAACATGGAAATAACCTAGATGCCCTTAAAGCTAAGAATGGATAAAGAAAATGTGCTATATTTACACAATGGAGTATTAATCAGCAGAAAAAAAAGCCAATGACATCATGAAATTGTAGGCAAATGGATGAAACTAGAAAAAAAAAATCATCCCGAGTGAGGTAACCCAGATCCAGAAAGACAAACATGGGATGTACTCATAAGTGGATATTAGATGTAAATCAAATGACAACCAGGCTACAGTCCTCAGCCCCAGAGAAGCTAGGTAACAAGGAGGACCCTCAGAAGGACACATGGATCTCCCTGGGAAGAGGAAGTCGATGGGATGTTCTGGGTAAACTGGTGGCAGGGGAATAGAGGGGAGGGCATGAGGGATGGGAGCATGAGGGATCAGGGTGGTCGAGTTGTGGGCAGGATTGAGCAGAATAGTGATGGAGGAGATATCTCGATAGAGGGGACCATTGTGAGGTTAGGGAGAAACCTGTTGCCAGGGAGGCTACGGGAATCCACAAGGATGACTCTAACCAAGACTCTTATCAATGGGGGAGAGTGCCCTATTGTGCAATTGGTGACTGCCCTAGTTGTCATCATAGAGCCTTCATCCAGTACCTGATGGAAGCAGATGCAGAGATCCACAGGCAATCACTGGGCAGAGCTCCAGGAGTTCAGCTGAAGAGAGGGTGAAGGGATTGTATAAACAAGGCAGGGGTCAAGATCAGTGATGGGGAAACCTGAAGAGACAGCCGACCTGAGCTTATGGAAGTTCATGGACTCTGGACAGACAGCTAGGGAGTCATCATGGGACTGACCTAGGCCCATTGCATCTGTGGGGCCCCAAGCAGTGGGACCAGAGCCTGTTCCTGATGCATGAGCTGGCTCTTTGGAACCTTTTCCTTATGGTGGGATGTCTTGTTCAGCCTTGATGAATGGGGGGGGGGGAGGCTTGGTCCTGACTCAGCTTGATGTGTCATGCTTTGTTGATTCCCATGGGAAGCCTTATCCCATCTAAGTGGAGATGGAGGAGGAGTGGATGGGGTCAGGGGAGGGCAAGGGGGAAGTGGGAAGAGGGAGCAGGGGGATAGGAGGGAGGGGAAACTGTGGTTGGTATGTAAAATAAATAAAAATGATGGAAAAAGAAATTTGAAAAAGAAAAAATGCAAAATTAAAAAAGTGTTTGTTACTTGCTTGTTCATGCTTTATAGAACCAGAGTATCTTAATTAGACATTTCTTCTTTACTCTTGTTTTTGAAGGCAAGTCTCATATACCTCAGGCTAGCCTTGAACTTGCAATGTAGTAGAGGATGACTTTGAACTCTTGATCTTCCTGCCTCTATTTCCTAATTGCAGGAATTACTGGCATCTATCACCATTACATTATCAGCTTTTCCCATTTTCTCTATATTTCTAAGATAGGCATATCTACATTTGTTAAGGTGTTCTCTATAGCATTAAGCCTTCTAGTTTGCCTGTGGGTGCTCTTACTGTTTCTGTGGCCTATCTCTAGGAACTATGAGAAATGAGCAGAAAATACTCAGGGCATAGCAGTAATTTATCATTAGGGTTGGGAACCTTCTGGGTATCTACAAACTCTTGGGGCAATATCCTACTTGTTGGGCTAAGGATGCTTCCTGCTTCAGGCTGTGAACAAAGGACTCTGTGAAAGTGAGTGAGGTATGGCTCAAGAGTCCTAGTCAATACTACTGCCTAGTGGTCTACCTCTCCCTTCCATTATCCTTCACTTTGGGGTGCACTAACACATTTTCACAGTAGCCATGCCCTGCATAGCTTTAGGTTATGATACATTCTACTGATGCCTGCTTCCTGCTTTTTGAATTTTAGAGAACTTGTTTTCCTTTCTGCCATCGAGAATCTTCTCCCCCAATCCTGGTACCATTTTGATCTACTTTTAGAAATATGTTTTTCTGTAATTTGTAGGAACTGAAGTGGGAGATGGTATTGGCTTAAATTTGTCTTCTGTGATTTTTCTGTGATTTCTTCTTTTAGCTATGTCTTCATTTAGTCACTCAACAATTCTACTGAGCACCAAATCTGGGTCAAGTTCAGTATCAGTTGTCTTTCTAGAAGGCATAAACCCATAAATAAAAGAGTATGAGTTTTTAAAAAATCATTTTTCATAATAGACTTACTCCTTCTTATTTGTATCAGTCTGTGTGCACTTTTTTTTAACTTTGGAGGCTTAGCTTGGGTTAGATACTAATCACTGAATAAGTGGAACCCACTGATCTAGGTGTGAGTCAACATGTTGTTTTGGCCTTGCTCACAAAATGCTCGAAATCAAAGTGCTAGCTAGATGTCTTCAGATGCTGCTCTCTGATGATTCTGTATTTGGTCACATTTCCATTCTCATCAGTGGTACTGGCATGTCTCTCAAATCTGTCTCCTCTGAGTTCTTACTGCTTCTGCCTAGTTCTGACTCCTGTCACATTTACCATAGGTAGTCTGGCTAATGACTTAGTCCCTGATCTTTCCCACCTAATATTTGTCATGGTGAAATTGATGATCTAAGGCCCATTAAGTCTATGAATTTATAATCTCTCTTACTTGACTACAACCCTTATATTTTTTCATTAAAAACTGTAAAGCACTTATCATTTCTTTATTTATAAATCTTCAGTCTCTCATTTGCTTAAAGTAAAATGACCTTAGGAGTAATGTTTTTATAGATTATTTTATTAACCAGTTTATGTAAGTAGTGGAAATAGTATAATAATAATCATGGGTACAAATGCAATAATTTTGATGGTAAAGTAGAATCATAATTCTAATGGTGACTAGGAAGTAAGGAATATGAGGTAAATGCTATATTAATGACTTAATTTGATTAGATGGGGTGAGTAAAAGAATGAATTAGTACAATCTATATATAGAATTTTAACTTGCAAATCAATAAAATTTGGACTGTAAAGACATTGATTCACTAAAATGAAGTATTATGGTTAGAGAGGTTCAAACAAGATTTTGAAGTTTGTATATGAAGTAGTAGAAAATAAAATTTAGATGTTGATGACAAAGTCTTATATTATTCTTTTAGTCTCTATAATGGTTAGTTTAATTGTCAACTTAATACATTCTAGAGTCACTTGGGAAGAAAGTCTCAGTAAAGAACTGTCTAGATTAGGTTGGTCTGTGGGGATTTGATTACCTTAACTGAGGTGTGAAGACTGCCCACTGTGAGTGGCAAGATTCTCTAGGCAGGGGATACTGAACTACATGAGAGTGAAGAAAGTGAGTTGAGAACAAGCATGTATGCATCCATTATTCTGTTCCTGGTTATGGATATGATACGGTCAACTGCTTCAAACTCCCACCTCTGTTATTTCCCTTTCATGATGGATTGTAACTTGGAATTGTGAACTAAAATAAATCCTTTCTCCCCTAAGTTGCTTTTGTCAGGGCATCTTTGAAATCATAGAAACAGGAAATGAAAGTAAGACAGTCTTGAATCTCTCACTTCTGTTTTTGTGGCTCAGTTAAATCCTTTTCTGGCAGGTTTCCTGTGTAAGGCTACCAGGATATTTCACAGCAAGTGATGATCAATTTGAAACCAAGGTCTTGGGTCCACGGTACTGCTACAAAGGTATTTCCATTTTCCCAAGTTCTTTGAGGTGTAAGTATCATAATCCAACTGAAATGTGTATACGAAGAAAAGGGGATTTGTGGATGACTCAATTTTGAAGATCAGAGTCCAGTAAGAGCTCTGGCAACAGATGAATTCAAAGTCTCAATGTGATTGAGGCTCTGTCTGTCTCTTAGCTATAATTGGGAGTCAAACTTGGGGTGGTGGAGCCAAAAATCACTTCTTAAGGCTTTCAAATTTGTTCACTTTAAAAACGATGTGCATGTATTTAAGGAAGAGTTAGGAACTGTATTGAATGTTGTCAGTTGTTGCATAAGATAGAAACCCAGAAAATGTTATTATATTTAATGAGAGAGAGAGATGTCTGTGCTATTTTCCTCTCAAGTGATGATAATCAGAACCTGAAATCCTGGGGTTAAGGAGGAAGAGATGGAACAATGGAGATTGTAGTTTCCTACTTTCCTTCTTTTTCCCTTTGTCTTTACCTTCTTTCTCTAAAATGTTATGTTTATTATAGTGTTTGTATTTGGGGAAGTGACGGAGTAAAGATGAAATTAATGAGGTGTAATATAGAAAGAAGCATGTGAGGGCAAAGTTCATTAGGTGATGGACTAGCTGGACCTGTTGCAAAGGTGGAAGGTTGACCATATATATATCAATTTATTTCTTATGGGGAGGCAGAAAGGGTGATAGATTTTACAGTGTAAAACATAAAGTGGTATCAACCAAGCTTCAGTATGAAAAAGACCGAATTTGTAGTGATTTAACAGACCATGAGACTGCATATCCTTTAAGCAAATATTCAGGTTGATAGTCAAGGGCAGATAAAAATGGTTTTATAATAAAATTTACAGGTTCAATCTATCTTGTTGCTGTGCCAGCCTCAACATGCAGCATGCCCTTTGACAGACAAAGGTGACTGCTTTATCTCCTATCAGCGTGTATGGATGCTAGCTAGAGGGGAAGGAAGAAGTGAGAGGGAAGCTACATATGTTCACTTTAAAGGGCACAATGTAGAGATTGTCCCTCCTCTGTCCAAATCTTTTTCTGGCCTGTAGCCAAGGCTGAGAAATCTAGTGTTTGGTAAGATGGGAATGCACCCAACTAAAACTGGTATTCTTACTCAATGGGTGGTTCTCTGCTTCAGGGGATACAGTATTTCTCCAATTTCTCAATTAGAGGGTGACTCATGAATGGAATGAAAGAATGGATGAGATTGTAAGGGGTTCAGGAACACAACATTCAACTAGAAGACTAAGCCAAGCACAGAACTACCTAACTACTTAACTATAGCGAGGCTATGTGTAGGGACCACTTTGATTTGTGAGCAAAAGAAGCAGACAACCAATCATCCTGACTCCTCTCTGAAGCTTCCACATTAAACAAACAAATAACAATGTTTCGTGAAATTGAACATAGTGGTACATTTGGGCTAGGGTATGTGTTCCCTTCAGCCAAACGCCTCTGATAAGTCTACACAGTTGGCCAAGAAAGGTTTGTTCGTGGTGCTGGGAATGGAATGCTTATTTTCCAAAGTGCGAAAGAACAGCCTCTGGAAATGGTTAGCAGATGCTGGAGACGCAAGCATCGTATGCACACACATGAGTGCTCATCTATTAAGCAAAGATTTCCCATTATTTTCTTAGCCTCGATAGGCAAAGTGGAGCCTTGGGAAGCTACCTCATTTTTCCTGTCTCAAAGAAACTGGTGATTCAGTGGTCACAGGAGTTTGTAATAAATAACCTACATTGATTTCTCTGTTCCAGAATGATTTTGGCTTCCCTTCCTCCCAGTGGTCTGATGTTTACCCCAAGAGACAGTGTTAGGAAATCATTTACAAAGTGGTACAGCCTCTCCTTCTGGTATAGTTATAAATACAAGGTTGGGCTGGGACTGAAGCAAGGGATCCAGAACTTCTCATCGTGATTTTTCAGACAAAACTGAGTTTTCCTAATGTGAAAATCCAGGTCCAGCAGCATCAATAGCCATGGAGAAGCTGCTGTGGTGCTCACTGGTCATGATCGGCTTCTCTCAGGCTTTTGCCCAGAAAGGTAGGATCTATTATAAAGATCTGATCTGGGGGGAGACGGGTGAGAGCCTAATTTCTTACATATGGAATTCAAGAAACAGCATCAGGTACAGATGTGTGTTTGTGTAACCTGGGAAAAGGCCACATGCCTCTTGATCCTAAACTCTACTTGTAAGTGAGGGATGATAGATCTTTGTTATCTGAGAAACTACTCACTTTCTTCGTTTTCTGTCTCACAGACATGTCTAAAACAGCCTTCGTATTTCCCAAAGAGTCAGCCAATTCCTATGTATCCCTGGAAGCACAGTCAAAGAAGACATTGAAAGCCTTCACTGTGTGTCTCCACATCTTCACGGAACTGAGCACAACCCGCAGCTTCAGTATTTTCTCTTATGCTACCAAGAACAGCCCTAACGAAATCCTCATATTTTGGTCTAAGGATAGAGGGTATGCTTTTGGAGTGGGTGGGCCTGAAGTACTATTCAAGGCTTCTGAAATTCCTGAAGTTCCAACACACATCTGTGCCAGCTGGGAGTCTGCTACAGGGATTGCAGAGTTATGGGTTGATGGGAAACCCAAGGTGCGGAAAATTCTGCAGAAGGGCTACACTGTGGGGACAGATGCAAGCATCATCCTGGGGCAGGAGCAGGACTCATATGGTGGTGGTTTTGATGCAAACCAGTCTTTGGTAGGAGACATTGGAGATGTGAACATGTGGGACATTGTGCTGTCTCCAGAACAGATAAACACAGTTTGTGTTGGTGGGACACTAGACCCCAGTGTTTTAAACTGGCAGGCACTGAAGTATAAAGTACAGGGTGATGTGTTTATTAAGCCCCAGCTGTGGCCCTGACCTACTGTTGTGAGCCCTGAGACAACCCTTGGGATTACATTGTCTTCCTTGTCTCTGGTTATAGACCTTTTAACCCCAACAGATGCTGTAGTTCTATTCTGTGAATATGGTCTTTCACTTCCCTGCTCTGCCTTCCTCAGCACCAGAGCATGCAATTTAAGTGTATGGCTTGGCAGTATGTACATCATATTAGGAATATTTATCAAAGAGAATCCTAATTACATGTTTTTGTTTATATACACACTATAAGTATATATATATATATATATATATATATATATATATATATATATATAATTTCCAGGTGTAACAGCCCCGGCTGACCTGGAACTTGCTGTGTAGACCAGGCTGACCTCAAACTCACTGAGATCCACCTGCCTCTGCCTCCCAAGTGCTGGGATTAAGGGCCTGTGCTATCACTATCTGGATTTTTTACATATATTTTTAATTGAAAGAATTTTAAACAATCCCTCACCCTCACAAAGATGAGAAACCACACAGAAAGAAGAATGAAAATTTTAATTTAATCTTTTTGTTTTTAAAATTTCATATATGAATGCTATATTTACTTCATTTATATCCCTCCCTCTCCAAATCTTCCTGTATCTTGACCTCTTATTTATTAGCTTTATATGCATACACATACATTATATACACAATATCTATCATCTATGTATCTATGTATGTAAGTACAATGTATCTATGTGTCTATGTATCTATGTATCTAGTATGTATGTATGTATGTATGTATGTATGTATCTATCATTCATCCATCCTACTGGTTCCATTTAGTGTTGCTTGTACGCTGTTGAGGGTTGGTCACTTGGGACTTGGATAATCTATTAGATGGCACACCCCTGAAGAAAACGGACTCTCCTTTTCTCAGCAGCCATTGATTGCCTGTAGCTCTTCATATAGGGGTGGGGCTTTGTGAAATTTCTTCTGTCCATGTTGCATGCTAGTGTTGTCATTATGTAGGTCTTATTTAGGCAACCCAGACTGATGGGGGACCGACTATACTGGGCTCAGAGTTAGTCCTTTTCTGGAATAAAAATCTGTATCTGAACTTCCTGGGTCCATGAGTCAATAAAGCTACCTTTGGTTTGGATGAATTGGAGTTATTGCATGATTCATTTTATTATCAACCCTCTGGAATAAATAGTCTGAAGTTCAGGCTGACTGTCACTTCCCTGCAGGATCATATCCATGCCATGCCACCTTCTCCTGCTGAAATCTCTTGTGATGGGTCCCTTTGAGGTGAACAGCCTGATTTGGAGATAGCTGGTCATTCATGGGGTTCAGGTGTGGGGGTCAGACATTTTCACTTTTAGAATTTTAGTTTGAGAACAAAATTCTAAGGATCATTGAGATTCATGATTCTGTAGTCAGGTCCAATGATGGGATATGTTTGTTTCAGTCTGTTTGGCTACTTAAAAGAAACAGACCCCTGAGGCATCCTTTACCATGGTCTTTCAGAAGTCCTTCCTTATTCAGGATTTGAGAAGGGGTTCATTAAACTATTATTTTAGCGAAGGCATATGGTAAACTGGCTAGATATAGAGTTCAAGGATCAGGTCCATGTCCTGGTTTTGTAACTTACCAATTATGTGACCTCTATGACTCAGTTTTTTTTTTAACCTACAAATTGGGAGAAATAATTTAATCCACTTAAAGGGTCATTGTAAAAGCCAGATACAATTGCCCAAATAGTAATCTCTTATAAAAGTCACCCTTTATTATTATTAGTGGGTTTTGTACTATGTGCGTAAACATTATATACCCCCAAAATACTGCTGCTTGAATTTGTCTAGGTTAGCAGCAAGCGAGTTTTTGATTTACTAAGAATTCAGTTAGGACCATTAGGAGAATGAACAGAGTGTCTTTGAAGAAATTATTTATGTATATCGATTTCCCTAATTGACCTTTGATAACCATTTAGAAGCATAAGAGTTAAGGAAATACATTCTTAGGCAAAAATGTGAGTGCAGATAATTCTCCATTGTCCAATTAGGGCAGATCCATACATCCTGACACTCAGCTAAGTGGGAGAGAGGGTTGATGCTCTTTTCTAGTTAACGAATCTAACCAGGAGATATGTCTTAATTATGGAAGTCAGGCCCAATTCCCCAGGGATGTGGGATGAGCTAATATGTTCTTCAGAATTCAATTATGGGTATCTTGCTACACACAGTCTAGTGGAGAGCCTCTGGCCCTGATGGTTTTATTCAGGGAAATTTTAACAGGTAGCATTTGCATTCAGTGTGGATTAAAAAATCTTAATAAATCATTTCTATAGTGCATACATTTAAGCAATTTACTTTACTGGTAGGTACTTTGATGTAATCTTTTTAGAATATGTATTCAGAGGTACCTGGTGAATTGTCATCCTATATGAAGTTGTTAAATGTAATCTAATAAAATGCTGTCTGCTGAAATGACTTTCGTTTGGGAATGTTGGTGCCATCATTTTCATATTTTTGTAGATGGATAATATCAATCTTCCATCGTGGTCACTCCTGAGTGATATTGGTGATGCTGTGATCAAGGTTCTGAGGGTGCCAACTGTTTAATCACAAGGCAGATACCTCATAATATTTAAAAATACTTTTGAAATTACATATAATTGCATCATTTTCCCTCTTTCCTCCATCCAACCTTTTCCACGCACCTCCTTGCTTGTCCTGAGATGTGTGAACTCTATTTCTTTAGTTTTTGTTATACACACACACACACACACACACACACACACACACACACACACACAGCACGTGTATGCACACACACTCACACAATGTATTCTTAAATATATAACTTCTCAGTCTGCATAAAATTACTTTTATGTATGTTTTAAGGGGCTGACCACTTGATATTGAATAACCAGTTGGTGTGCTCATTCATGGGGAACACCATTTCTTCCCACCCCACAACCCTGCTCTCAGAATTCCTTATTTGACTGTAGTTCTTTGTCTAGGGCTAAGGCCCCATGACATTTCCCCTTCCGTGTTGTCATATCCGTTGGCGTTGTCCTTGTTCAGGTCTTCTTTAAGAGGTAATGATGATGAGACATCATAATGGAAGAGGAGACAGAAAGATTATTAGAGCTAGATGAGCAGGTAGTTTTCTGTGAGCTCAGCTCCCAGAAATTTCAGAGACGCTGAAATCACTTTATTCTGATCTGAGCTTTTATCATATACTGGACACTGAGTCCTTTAAACACACTTATTTGACAGTTCTACAAAGATTCATTTTAGAGCACTTACTTTTTATATTTTTTAATGTTTGTTTTTCTCTCATACATCACAGCCCGACCTTAGTTTCCCCTCTCTCCACTCCTATCACCATTTCAGTCCTTCAGATTCCCTGCTCCTCCATTTCCCTTCAGAAAAGAGCAGGTCTCCCAGGGATATCAACCAAACACAGCATAACAAGTTACAATAAGACCAGGCACAAACCCTCATATCAAGACTCTTGGAGGCAACCCAGTAGGAGGAAAAGAGTCTCAAGAGCAAGTAAAAGAGTCAGAGAAACTCGCACTCCCACTGTTAGGAGTCTCACAAGAACACCCAGATATACAACCATAACATATGCAGAGGGCCTAGCTCAGACCCATACAAGCTCCCTGATGCTTGGTTGAGTTTTTGTGAGCCCCTACAAGCCTTGCTTAGTTGATTCTGTGGGTTGTGTTCTCATGGTGGATTGTAGGAACCAGAGTACTTACTATTTTTCTTTTCTTTTCTTTTCTTTTTTTGGAGAAGGTCTCACTTAGTAGACTTGGAACTCACTATATAGATTAGGCTGGCTTCAAACTCATAGATCTTCCTGCTCTTGTCTCCTGAGTTCTAGGTTCAAGGCATGCGCCACCATAAACAGCTACTTTTTATTTTATATGTAAGGAAACCAAGACCTAAAGAGGTTAATTAATTTTCTTAGTGGTGGTATTTGAATGGAGACCATGTAGCCTCTAACCACTGATGCCTCACCACTTTACTTATCCCCTAGTGGACTTATGCCTTATCACTGCACTACACATCAACAAACAGGGGTATGTCTGTCTTCCTTTAGGGAGTGCCCAGACTTTAGTTTTTTTTTTATTGAGACAGGGTTTTGCATCCTAGGCCTTAATCTCACAATATAGCCAAGGATGATCTTTAACTTCTGATTCTCTTGTCTTTACCTCCTGACTTCTGGGATTACAGATGTGTGGTACCATGCCTTATACAGTGTTGAGGGTCGAATTTAAGACCTTGTGTGAGGCAAGCACTCTACCAATTGAGCTATACTCCCATCACATATATTGTTCTTATTTATTCAGCTTCAATATTAAGAGAATATTAGACTGACTATGCTTGTGGTGCACTGTCAAATTCTTCTCCAGCCTGGAACCCCTACCTCATATGCATGCATGAATGCCTTACCTAGAAAGCATTCTCCACAGGCATGGAATCATGAGACTATTCCTTCACACCAGTAGATCTCAACTCTAGATGCTAATTAGAGTTACCCAGAGAACTTTTAAAAACCTAGCACCCATGGCCTCACCCTAGATCATGACATTGGAGTCTCGGGTGATGACACCAAGGGATAAGTGTTTACAAAACTGTTTAAGTGATTACTGTGTGTAGGCAAGTCTTCCACCCCTATACTAGGCTGAGTAGTAACTTTAAAAAAGATTCCAGGGTCATGGCTGCTCAAGGACACCATAAACTGACAGCCCTTCGTTTAATATGTTATTTATTTAATAAGGCTGCACCGTGTTGACAAGCATCCTGCCTTGACTCACAGTGTTTTTCTCTTTCTGAAGATTGGTACTCAGATTGCTGCAATTTGGGGGTGTTGTTCTGACCTACAGGGGCTTTAAATCAGGGAGAATCCAACATGCCAAGGTGTCTAGAAAAAGCTCAGATTCTTGCCTATATTTATGAATCATCACAAGCTCTACGGAGAAGATAGAAGGTTCCCACCAACCTGCCCGAGGGAAGGGTCAACTCACATTAGAGCCTGATTTATTGATCCCAGTGCTCGGTGAAATGATGTGAATAGTTAGAGAGCTGTGTCAGCAACTGCTGGAACCAGCAGGGATTGCAAACTGGTTCACGGGGACTCTTTCACTCTCCTTCATTGAAAGATTTCTTTCAGCATATCCATTTTGGAGGTAGTTCTAACAATGTAGTGGACTCCATAAAATCAATAATACTTCTTGCACCCACTCAAAGTGTTGGAGGCTGTTTTCTATGAACTCATCTGT